AAGCAGACTTTTGCTCCTGTCAGTCGACATACGAGCGTTCAAATTCTGCTTTGGGTCGCCGCCTGCCGCAATCTACGACTTCGGCAAATTGACGTGTCAAACGCTTTTCTGTACGCACCCGTCGACGCATTCATTCTGGTAGAGTACCCCCATTCGTATACTACTAACCCACCGAGCGTATGCCGTTTCAGAAAGTCGCTTTACGGCATTAAACAGGCACCCCAACTCTGGCAGCAGTATCTTCACTCACAGCTCATCACTGCTGGATTTCGACAACTGCCGCATGATCAGGGGATGTATCTTCTAACTGACGGCAGCAACTATATTTTACTCGTCGCCTATGTCGACGACAGTCCTTACGTCAGTACTTCTGACTCGCTCGCCGATATCTTCATACTGAAACTACAGAAAAATCTACAGCTTACCTTCTCTGAAACAGTTTCACAGTTTCTCGGTTTAAACATTACATGCTCACCGGAAACTATTCACCTCACCGCGTCGAAGTTCGCAGCGACACTCGCTGCTTGCTTCAATCTTACTCCTACTACAGTCTCTACACCGTATCGCTCACTACCGACTGACTACAAACCGAATACTGCACCATTGAGTCTAACCGGTTTACAGGTTTATCAACAGTAATTAGGTTGTTTACTCTTCGCCGCCGTTACTTGCCGTCCAGATCTAGCCTACGCTGCTAGTCAACTCGCTCAATTCCTACGCCGTCCTGAAGAAGAGCATCAACTCAATCTTCTCCACGCGCTTCAGTACTTTATATCGACACCTGACATCGGTTTAGTCTACAACGCCATCGGCTGTAAAACGCTATACCTACACAGTTTCGTAGACGCCGATCACGCTGCTGATTCTACTAATCGACGATCGCGTAGTGGATTGATCTACCGCCTTGAACCTATCGGGCCTATTTCTTGGAATACAATGAAGAAGGAGCTGATTGCTCTCTCCTTTATCGCTGTCGGCACAGCAACACGCGAAGGACTTTACCTACAGGAACTATTAGAAGAAGCGAAGTTGACGACGAGTACTCAGTTTACTCTGCAGTGCGACAACCAAAGTGCAATTCGCATCGCGCACCAGCCTAGCTTCGTCATAGGACGAAACATATTTCACTGCGTTACTTTTTCGTCAAGGATGAAGTCGAGAAGGGGAGAATGCGATTGGTCTATTGTTCGACCAACGAAATGGCTGCCAACTTCCTCACGAAGAAGCTGACACGACAGAAGTTTCAATACTGTAACAAACTTTGCGGGATCTTCAAGAAGTGACACTATCGAACTTCCATAAATGAAGGGGAGTGTTGTGGTATAATTCATACTTAGCATTTCTGTAAGTCGTTTATCGATATATAGTGTCGAATCCTACTGTAGAAGATAAGTCCGTAGGATGACGTCAGCAAATAGCGCTCGTCATAGGACAGTCGTTTCAGTCACTTGAACAGTCGCACCTCTTCATTATCATCTAGGGCGCATAGCGCGATAGTGATGAACAGGTACATTAGCGAATAGGTACTTTCCTTGAGCTATAAATCCTTGTTGTGCCTTTTTATTATTAACCTTGAGATTTCAACTTTGAGAACTTGAGACTTGACTTCAACAGAACTATATACTCAGGTTCACTCTTACAAGACTTCCGTTGTCTTACTAGTCTACCATTCCAGTAAAGATCCTAAGCTAACACTTGAGGTTATCCAAGTGTATGTGTTTGCAGATTCTACACTTAGTCTCCTGCAACACCTGTGAAATTATTGCATGAAGCACCCACATACCATGCATACATATAATAATGTGAATGTGTGAGACTATGCCCCCAGAAGTCAGTAATTTTTTCCTTATTCAGGAAAAAAAAAACAGGGTGTTGAGGGGTACCAGCCCTGATTTGCTAGGGTTTTGTTTTTGGCATTTTTGACGTTTTTTTTCTCTCTTTTTCGTTTTTTTTCCCTCTTTTTTGCATTTTCTTTGCATGTTTTTTGCATTTCCTGAAATTTCAGGGTTTTTTTTTAAAGGGATATGTGTGAGCTCAGTTTTTTTTTTTTAAGGGATCCTGAAATTTCGAGCATGGTATCCGATTTTGTCAAAGGCGTGATTTGCGGGTCCCCCCCAAAATTACAGCGATATGCGCATATTCCCCCATAAATCTGGCTTGACTGCCAGGTTCCCGCCTGCAGGCATGGTTTGGTGACTCACATGTTGCCGCGCTGCCTCACGGCATTGGTCCTTCTCAAAGTTTGGTTTGAGGGTCGGCCAGCACACAGTTTGGCTGCATGCGTAGATTGGTTGCCCATGTAAATGCTGCCTGAATAGCTAATTACTGACGGATCCGTATACGCCAGCGATGATGACCCAGCTTCCACCACCACACTCCGTTTCGACGCCGACGCACATGTGCCGCGCTAGTTTCGGTCCGGATTCAGGAATCCAGGGAGCCAACTATGCGTGGCTGGCAAACTGTTCGCGCCTCGCCATCGTTCCCTTTCCCCCCTGCGTCTTCTTCATATGTTTCTTCCCACGGTAGAATTAGCCACTGCTTCAGCCTCTCCCAGCATGACCTTCCCCCCTGCAGCGTCGTTGTTTTACAACCCCTCCGTCACGTGTCTCTGCTCGTCGACCACCCTAGTGAGCCCCGTCCTCATGCCTGAGTCAGGCGACGTGGGATTGGACAACGATGGCGACGACAGCGGCAGTCATCGTGCCGAAGCCCGTACTGGGCTTGACATGCTCCTTTCGACGCCAGGTAGTTTCCTAAAGGCTCCTCGTAATCCCTTCGACAGAACAGAACCCCCTATGCGCCTCGCAGTCGTTCGCCTCAACTTCTCATGCTGATGTCGAGACGACTCCCATCGCTGGCTGATGATTTTACCTGTAGTCCAGGTTCCGCCACCTTCGTGAAACCTGGCAGTCGATACCGGCAAACCACCCTGTGGAATTTCCCAGGCGGTCAGCCGATGACTCCCCGCCCCTCAGCCATGTGCGAAGTTGACGACAGCGATGGCGACGACCCTGCCGCTGCACCCGACAAGTCTCGATCGCCTAAGGATGTCTACGGCGAAGCCCTCAGCAGGTTAAATACGCGATGGTCCGAGCGGTTTCCCTAGCTTATGATTGTTAACACTTATGCTGGATTCCCTTCTTTTAAATGCAGTCTGTGCCTTGAGCATGCAGGACTCAGAGGGAAAGCCGGCAAACGCGGCACAGGGCTGACGGACGCGCAATCGCAGGCATTCAACAGGCACGAGGGGTTAGCCAAGCATCGCCTAGCAGTGACAAAGCAGCAGGCGCTGCTACAGGACGCAACCAACCAAATGCAGATCGACCAGCTTCCCCAAGCCGCAGACCTGGAGAAGGAACGTGTGACTGTGCTGCTTGACGCGCTCTACTTCTGCTGCAAAGGCAACGAGCCGATGGAAAACTGGATCAGGCTCGTGCGCTACCTCCGCAAACGTTGGCACGAGCACTTCCCCGAGCAGACCTATGACACGTACTGCAACAGGTATTCTTGTGTTTTGTTTAATTTTGTTTTGCATGCATCTATCATGCGTGACGAATGTTTATATTTCAGTATACTAATTACGCATATGCCCTTCGTGTCTGCCCTTCTGAGAGCACAGACCGCTGCCGCGGCAAGCACCTCATCGTGTTTGCGCACTTCATCCGCGAGAACCATCTCGTCTGCGAATACCTGGCCCTGTTGAGCGTCGACAAGGCCGACACTGCTTCTCTGCTCGCTCTACTCCTGTCTCACCTCAACGCGATCGGTGTCGACCTCCGGCGGGTCGTGGGCATAAGCACCGATGGCGTTGCCGTGATGATGGGGTCGAAGGCTGGGCTTTTGACGCGGCTGCGAATGCACATTCCGCACTTGGTGTCGTGTCACTGTATTGGGCACAGGTGAGCCTTGTTAACCGCTATAGTACCTCGGGTTAAGTGTACTGGTGGTTTCCACATGTGCAATGTTTATTACCCCACTCCTAAGGCCCAATATGTACATTTTCTGTCTGTTTTATCCCACCCTCCAGAGAGGCAATGGCAGCTAAAGCAGCAGCGGATTCCTTGCCAGCATTCAAGATGATCGATGATGTTATCAAGGAGCTCGTTGAGTACTTCGGACGCTCTGGCCTATGGCACCAGCGCTTCTTGGACCTGCAGGATATCTTCACCTCGACGAACCTCAAAATTAAAGGCATTCATACAGTGACGGAAACAATTGTCCGTATGTTTTGCATTAATTTGGGTTTCTAGGCTTTAAGACCACTATGCATTAAGCCATAATATTTAATAGTGGTATGATTTGGGAGGGGCACATAGTGGATGTGTTCATGGCACAAAAATCCAGCATAGTATATTCGATCTAACTTATATCCCAAAAGATATACAAGGGTACATCCGGACAAATAGTTCCAAGCAGAGAGAGCAAACTTCAGAACTGCGTTTCTTGTACCTAGCCCACCGACCTTTGGCCTTGATCACCGTCCGCACCCTCCTAGGAGTGCTGTCGATGAGGCTAGAGCAAACCTCGGCATGGATCTTCTCCCATTCTTCCTGTACCAGGTCCCAAAGCTCCCGCATTCCAAAGAAAGGCCTTTTATGCTTGGCCAGCTCCCTTTTCAGGTAAGCCTAGAGGCTGAGGTTTGATGAGGAAGAAGGCCACTCCAGGGCTACATACTCGCGTTCTCCAAGTCATTCCTACACACTGTGTAATTTTTCTCAGCACCCTGCAGCTTTCGTTATTCGTAGGCGACTGGCTGTAACCCATTGCCGAAATTCTGTAGAAGAACTGCACCAATGGCGATGTCGTGATGACTTCGTATGGACAGTCAGAATCGGAGATGCGAAGGACGGGCGATGATGTGAGGACGATCTTTAGTTGGGCAAATGCGGCTTGCTGCTTCTTCCCCCACCAAAAACAATCATGATCCTTCAGGCGATCAGTTAGTGGGTCGGATAACCCAGCCATGTTAGGGATAAAACGGCGGACGTAATTGACGAATCTTGAAAAACTCTGCAGCTCCTTTACTTATCGCGACCGCTGCCATTCTTGTATGGTCTTGATTTTCTTCAGGTCGATTTTCACTCCTTCAGTAGAGACGATGTGGCCCAAAAACTCCAACTCTTGCTTAAGAAAGTCGCACTTAGACCCTTTTGTGATGAGGCAGTTCTTGTGCAGCAGCGTGAAGATTGCAACAAGATCCTGTAAGTGCTGCTCCTTGCTGCGGCTGTAGATCAATATATCGTCAAGATAGATGATGACGCACTTGTCCAAGAGTTCCCTGAAAATTCCATTCACGGTCATCTGGAAGGTCGAGGACGTGTTCGTGAGGCCAAAAGGCATCACCAGGTACTCGTAGCTGTCGCATCGGGTTTGGAATGCCGTCTTGTGACAATCTTCGGCGGTGACACGAATTTGGTCGAGAAGTTCGTCAGCTCGTGGGATCAGGTAATGCGACTTGATGGTGATCATGTTGAGCGCTCGATAGTCAATACACATTCGGAATCCTCCATACTTCTTTGGTGTGAATAGGATCGGGGCGGCGTATGGTGACGTACTAGGCCGGATAAAACCTTTCTCCACAAGATTATCCAACTGCTGCTGTAATTCTTCCAGTTCCGGTTGGCTGAGCCGAAATTGGCGTTGTACAGCTCGTTGGGCACCTGGTTCCAGATCGATTCGATGGTCCTCAGGTCGGCTCAGCGGGAGTCCAGCTGGCAGATCGTCCAGGAAAATCTCTGGGTATTTCCGAATCACGTCCGCTAAATCCGTAGGGACGGCCTTGAACTGCTTCTCAATATCTTCGTCCTCGACCGTCGATGCCAACTCGCAAAGATCGACGGCGTATGCTTCAGCTACAGCCCGCAGCGCCTTCTTGAATGTGATTGCATGGACTTGGATGCTTCGCATGCGAGGCTCCGCCCACTTGGGCAGCTAGCGGGAAATCCCATCGAGCTTGATGCTGCAGCCACCCGTCGTCCAGTCGATCTTCAGGTTGTACCTTCGCAACCAATCACGTCCTAGCAGCACGTCGCACCCGTCAAGAGTCATCGCCAGCAGCCCCATCTGGCATTTTTAATGCTCCCCAGAGGTAAAACTAACGTTCTCCACCCGCTCCCATATTGCCAGCGGCGTGCCATCGACCAATTGGGCGTCAATCTCAAGTAAACATCTTAGTAAGGGTATACCCGATTTTTTAGCCCTGTCCAGCTGTATGAGACTTTGTCTCGCGCCTCCATCAACGAAAATCTCCAAAAACACCCCGTTGACTTTACCCTCCACCAACACAGGGTGATGAGCAGTTTCGTCCCCCTTATTCGTCTGGGTCCGGTCGATTGCAGCAATCGGGATTACGACCCAGTGGGGACTGTGTGGTTCGAGCAAAGAAGCCTGCCCGTCAGTAAGGGGCCCGGTGTTTACTGACGCGACCCATTTCCCGGTCGCTCCTCCATCTTCTTCCCCATAGAATTCTGGAGGGCTATGAATTCTTGGCAGTTGCGTCGGATGTCACTCAGCCGGCCACAGTGGTAGCATAGCCCCGTATTTCGCGGAGCAACTGCGTAAATATTCATAACGTCCACCCCCTTTATCGTGGCGGGCTGGTACTGTTCTCGAGGGCGACTTCCGTCGTAGAAGTTCGTCCTCGGCTTCGTGAGCGAATCAGCGGCTTCGGCGAGCTGGATGTAGTCTTGTAACCGCTTCGCAGGGCGTTGCAATTTTATCTACATGCACGTATTTCGGGCTTCAAGCCGCCCATGTACCTGTCGACCTTCTCCAACTCGTGCATGTAGCCACATCTGTCCACCAACGTCTGGAACGACGCGGTGTACTCGGACACAGATCCGAGCTGCTTCCACGTGCGTAGAGTTTCGCGTACCTTATCTGAGTCAGGTGCAAGCTCTGCGCACCACGTTGCCCACGTGCGAAGATGGGTCGCTCCGAACAACAGGTCTGCCTCGTCTTCGTCGCCGAATTCTTCGGACCACTCGTGCTGTCCTTATGTGCGAGTTGCCGCTGAGTCGACGATGACCTTCCACAACTGTAGGGCGGCCCCTTGCAACAGCGTTAACGCGTGGCTGATCCGCTTCTGATCGTCTCTGATGCTCGCCGCGTTAAAATCGATATTCATTGCGAATATCCACTGCCGCACTGTTACGCATTTATTACCTGGGTCCAAAGGAGCGGGTTGCTAATATCATACGCCGCCACTTGTCGAGCCACTAATCGTGCCAGATCCACTGGCGACGCCGCGACGATCGTTGCTGACCCGCCTCGCTTCATGCATCGTCGCCCGGCACCTCTGGACGCTTCTCTTACGTCTGGCGAAGTCGCTGGTTCTCGTCGCGGAGTTCGTTGACGATGCTGGTCAGATTCTTCAACTGCTCCATTGATGCTTGCAGGTCCACCGTTTCCTGGGCAGGGTTCGCAGCAGTCAAGGTGGACTTGTCAAAGTAGCTAGCTAGGAAGAGAAGCCATGGAATGGCGAGAGGTTTAGGAAGGAGAGAAAATGTTGAGAGAGAAGAGGGATTGGAATAGAAGAGAAGGATGTTGGGCTGAGAAAAAGCCCTTAGGATCTTTCAGAGACTGAGTCCCAGTTGTACAAGATACTTGAGTAGTGCAGCGGAAGTTGAGTAGTTGAACCCTTGCACTAGTATGTGAGAGCAAGTGATTGATTAAAAGAAACAAGCATACAACAATATATAGAAAAGTAGGAAAGTGATGCGGTTGTAGAATACAGTTGAAGGAACGGTTATCGAGTCGCACAGCGACTCGATAGTCGATTCGGTTACCACTCTTGCAGTTGTAACGGTCAGTCGCAACCGGAGGTTGCGACCCTTCGAGTCTTTTCGTCCTTTCGTGTTCTTTCGTTCAACCTCCTCGTGTAACTTCCGTTGACTCGCATACTCGATACGGCTTCACTCGAGTGTAGTGTTACGCTTCAGAAACGCTTAAGTCCTTGAGGAATTTCCAACAAAGGAGATACAAGAAGCGGGGTAGTCCCCTCTACAGTAGGATTCAGTAAGTAGCACAACTACCAAGCCTATAATTATATATAAAAAATATATATATTTTAACATGACTGTCCCTCAACTGTCGAATCTACCGTGTTCTGATGGGTGGTCAGATGGGATTAGCACGGCTGCACAGCAGTTGTATTGGGTCGTAAACATTCCTGTAAGTACCCAGGAAAACGGAAGGTGCCTGGAAAGGTCGAACTCTGATGTTTTTTCTGAAGCATCTAGCATTTTGGCTGTGTTCTACAGGCATTTGACGTCGACGTCGACGTCGACATTGAGGAAGCTCCTCAAGAGACTTCTAGAGCACTGGTTACCACTCAAACCAGGTGCACTTTCCAAACCTCTCTTGGAAGCAACGCGCCAAACTGTGGAAAGCGCGAGCGAAAGGAGAGAGGAGCCAAATTGAGGCTGATGTAACGCCACACGCAAGGTGAACTCCACGATTTAGCGAACGTCAGCATTGCGTCGCCTTTGCGTCAAATTTGCCAGGGAGGGAAGCGAGGGGGGTGTTTCCCTGACGTAGATGTCATCTGTACATGGACCTGTTCTGCAGGCATGTTGATGTAACTAGGTTCGGGTACCTTGTGCCAGGTTTGGACGAAATTTTGCGGGCTGACCCTCGATCCGAAGCAAAAAATCAGGCTTTCGGAAGGTGCTCTGATGTAATCTGCACTTTCCTTTTCTGCCTGCAGAACGCAGCCTTTACCCCCACGCTTCCCCTAAAAAAGTATTGGGCAAGTTGTCAGATTCAATGTATTCACTAGCACTACCAGCCTGAGTATCTAAGTCAAAATCACAGCGTTTGACTCTATTGAGACTACCCTATAAAAAGCAAGGCAACGGCAGCTTTACTCTAGGCGGCTTACAAGAGCCTCTAGCGCGTTCACTTGGCGTCGCACACGGATCAGAACGTTTCGTTCTCCAGTTTCGCCTTTGTTCGCAGAGAGCCCGCGGCGGGCGTGCGACTGGAGCCAATGAGAGCCGTCTCGAGGCTCGCCGCCTTCTCCGCCGCGAGCGCCATTTCTTCCAGCTGCTTCTGCTTCTTGGCGCGCCGCCACCACCAGACGAGCAGCACTGTTAGCGCGATGAAAATCAGCACTCCCACCACAATCGCTATGTACACCGCCGCGCTCGTGCTGCTGCTGCTGCTGCTGCTGCCGCTGCTGCTGCTGCTCGGGGTGCTGGCGGTGCTTGTGCTGCTAGCGGCGTTGGCCGAGCTGCTTGTACCGCTGCTTCTGTTATCTGGGACGGTTGTATTGGGGGTGGTGGGCGGAGTTTTCGGAGTAGGAGGGGGAGGAACGGGCTTCTGGGGAGGTGTGGGCGGAGTCGCTGGGGGAGCCGAGGGCGGAGCGGTGGGCGCGGGTGTGGGCGCAGGAGTTGGAGGAGGTGTGGGCGGAAGCGGAACGGAGGGGCCAGAAGCAAGCGTGAATTCCGCGAGAGTAGAGCTCTCGCAGGCAATCGTATTCGTGGCGGCGTTCGCTGTCGTGGTCACATAATCAGGCCCGCCAGAGGCGGTGAACACCGCACATTGCGGAGGGTACTTTGGATCAGTGACTGGAGTAGGGAACGTGACCTTGATGGGTGTTTCTGCCGGCGCCGTCACTTGTATCGTCTTGCTGGTAGCGGGTCCTGCTGCTGCCGCGACAGGAGGATACGCGACGATGTTGAGGCCCGCGAAATACGGCATGAACTCGAGGCCGTCGTCGGCGGGCTTGAATGGCGCCGTGTCGTTGGGGAGGTTGTTGTAGATCAGCGCCACCTGCTTCGCCGTGCTGTCGATCGCGAGACCCGGAGGCAGGGCGAACTCGCGAAACTTGTAACCCTTTTCGACGAGGAACGCGCGGTCTAGGATGACCATTTGGAAGGTCATGTTGGAGAACGGGGGAGGCGGCAGCGTGACGATTTTCCCGGGGAGGGTCTTCTGCAAGTTATGCATGGCGATCTGGTGTAGCACCCCCTCGTATATTTTAAGCCGCGTCAATTCGATGTCGCTTAAAACGGGACCTGATGTTATCGCGGATGCGCTGGTTGCGTGGGCCTGGTACGGGATGATGGATGAGATGAGTAGCAGAGAGAGTGAGATGGCAGCCATGGCTGGTCTCCTCGGCGAAGTCGCTATGTGGAACATCGTAGCTGTTGGAGCGTCGCTGTCTACCTTGGTGATGCCGATATTTATCTCGAGATAGGCAAAGGCTGTTGTACGGAGCTCGAAGTTGCGACTCAACAATTAGCAGACGATTAGCTTTGGAAGACTTCCAACGAAAGCACACACCACTAGGTGTTGCAACCAAGATAGTGAAAATGGAGCGATGTTGTGCGATGGGGGCTGAAGGCTGGAATGCCGAGCCACAACCAATGCCAAAGCTCGAAAAGCAGGGGAGCCTGGAGATGAGGAGAGGGAGTGGCGAAAAGGAGGAATTGAGGCCAAACCCTACCGCGTCGCGAATGGGAGGGGTGCACGAATGTCGATGGGAAATGCCGAACCGCTTTCTCGACAGGACCGCGAAACCTGGAAGGTGGGCGGGAAGAGGCAACCAAACGAGTGCACCGCGATGTGCGGTCTGCCGTTATTCGAAAATGCCAACCAAAACACGATCATTTCCAGTATGGAGTGGCATTACCTTTCATTACTAAACGTTCGTTAGTACAAGTGCTACGATAACAAGACCGTTTAACAACCAAATGTATTCACACATATTTTAAGTTTGACCAACATTGGAGGTTGCTGCAATCACTTTCCTATATTCGCTAATAGGGGGGGGGGGGGGGGGGGGGGAGAATCCCAAGCGTGGATGCTCTTTCCCAAAGTCAGGTGGAATGGTGACAACTTGGTATTGCCATGCCATTACCCCTTGAGGCGTTCAGAGATGTCCTTGTCATCCCCATCAGCTTTCGTACCAAACGCCATTTCATCCAGGCTTTGGCCTAGGCGCTTGTACTTCCCTCCGGCCTCAACAAACGCAGGGCATGGTCGATACACCTTCACCGGGAACCACTGGAACCCTGGGAGCGCACCCACTCCACCCTGAACAGCAACAGGGTGCAACAAGAAAGGCCGCACACGAGGTTTGAGACCACACCTGGAGTTGTATGCTGTGATAAGGTCGAAGCACAGACAAAACTTTACAAATGTAGAAAAGGGAATGAATCCTGGTGTACATCACAAGGGCCGAAAACAATGTCACAAAGACAGGATGAGGCATGCATAGTCCTCACCTGAATGCGACCTTCCCCATTGCAGCCTCCAACCCTCTCTGCCCTGCCGCAAGCTTTGCACACGTCCCCAGAGGCCCTGCTGTCGCTACCGCCTGCACATTTGAACCACAATAAAAGGGGCAAGATCAGCATTGAAACAAGATTATGTACCTCTTGAGGACTGCACTATGGACTATGGGCAAGTCGACGCATCGATGCGCAATGAGCAGTACTTGAGAAACAGGGGCCGTGAAAGCCGCAAGAATGTGATCCAGATCTGAAAAATGTAGAGTGAACTCGAAGGTAAGTATGGCCAAGTGCTGGTGGGCTTTTAAGTGACCCACAATTCAATATGGTGCAGTAGTTAGGGTGAGAAAGAGATCTGAAGAGAGTGGTCCCCTGAGATCAGGAGAAGCAGGGCGGGCACGCAGCATCAACCAGCACACCGTTTCCAGCAACCGCCACGCCGTTACCAGCAAAGGAGGATACCAGCAAAGGAGGATACCAGCAAAGGAGGATACCAGCAAAGGAGGATACCAGCAAAGGAGGATACCAGCAAAGGAGGATACCAGCAAAGGAGGATACCAGCAAAGGAGGATACCAGCAAAGGAGGATACCAGCAAAGGAGGATACCAGCAAAGGAGGATACCAGCAAAGGAGGATACCAGCGAAGACAGGCGGCTACCAGAAGGTACAGGTGGTTACCAGCAGGAGCAGGAGGCGTCTGAGTGGCTGCTGAAGACTCACTGCCCTCAGGAGAGGCTGCAGCTCGTGTCACCGGCAGCTGGGGGAGACGAGGACAGGGGACCGGGGGAAGGGCGCGGGGGGCGGGGGGGGGGGGAGGGAACGCGGAGGGGGGAGAGGTTTTGGGAAAATGGGGCTGCAGGAGCATTCTTATGAGTTGGGGGAAGAGGCTGGAGATAGGACAAGGGTGAAGGGGGAGAGTGAGGAGGAGGAGGGAAGGGGTGGAAGCAGAGTGAGACAGAGGCAATGCAGGAGCCTCGACGCCGCAAGGAGTGGCCTCGCTCGCCGCGGCCAGTGTGACTGTAAGGAGCGGCATTGTTCGCCACGGCAGCGACTGCGACTGCGACTGCGACTGCGACTGCGACTGGAGCTGCGACTCACCCGGTAGGTTTGTCGCCTGACGCCAAGCTGCTCCTTGCTGGGCCGCGCTGCCTGCGAGAGTTGCGCGCGAGGAGGAGGGAAGACGAAAGGCCGAGTTTAGGAGTAACGGCGAAGCAGGATAGCGGATAGCGGCGAAGAGCGAGATTATCAAATCGAGGGGTTTAAATGGATGCATCAGGGAAAGGATTGCGAGAGCAGTAGAAGTCGCAGGAGCGGGCCGAGCTCGCGTACCAGCGAGACGATTCCTTGAGGAAGGCAGGCGGCCACGAGAGACGCCATTGCTGCGAGGCGAACGGGTGGTACCTTGGCTTCTTGTGGTGACTTCAGTAGGGATGCGGCAAATGGAGGTGTGGCGGAGAGGCTGGCTGCGACACGAATCGAAAGTGGCGAAATGGAAAGCGAAATGTTTGACTTGTCGCCAACGAGTGGACGGGTGTTGCGACGTGCGACACCTGAAAACGAAGCCCTTCATAACCAGATTTGCAAGGGGCGAGTGTACCTCCTCGGCCTAAACAGATGACATCAGTAGCACAATATATACGTTTATTGGGGTATAATAGACTATAATAAAATAAGTGGCAAAACTAATGCTCACGGGATGGAAACTTCAAACATAAGTGAGCACCTATACAAGTACGGTATGTACATGGGTCTACACCATGTGTATATGCCTACACACACATAATGTTCAGAAACTATCACGTATGAGAACAGACGTCTAAAACAAGCCTGAAACACCAGGCGAGCACAACCCATGGGTACCTCAACCCACCCACCTTGGGAACTGTCAAGCACTCCATTCCACACTGAACCAATGTCGGTGTCTACCCTCTCAGATTCGGATCCTTTAGACCCCACAAAACCATGTCTCGCACAATGCAGCCTGAGCAAAATCTCAGGCTGCAATGCCCCTTGTCCCTGCCCGCAATGCCCTGTCAACACGCCACGTCAGCACTAAAGGGCCCATCAAAGAGCAACTCCGAAAACTCTTCCGGAGAAAACTCGTCAGCCAATGGGAGGTCGTCTGGCAGCAGCTCGCCCTCACCGTCCTCCCCATGGCTGTTGCTGCCCTCCACTTGGTCCTGCAGCGAGGCATTGGCGTTCAAATGAAAAAAACACATGGGGAGCGCAGCACATGGCATGGGGATGCAGAGGCAACAGAGCAGCGTGAGAGAATGTGATAGTCGTCAAGGCATGAGGGTGAAGCATGAGCAGCCAAGGCATGCGGATGCCCCTCCCCACCCTCTTCGCCTCCCCCATCCCTCCCCTGCCTTCCACCTGGAGCTCACCCCACTTGATTCCCCTCTTCCCCTGCCTCACACAACTTCTCCTCCCTCCACGAATCCTCTCTCCTTTCCAGCTCTTCCGAACCCCCCCCCACCCCCACCACCCCCCCTCCTCTTTCCTTCTCTATCCCACCATGCCAAACCCCTCTGTCCCACAACATGATTCACCAACCCTCCATATCCCCTCCTCCCTCCCTCTCACCATGTCATCATTGCGGGCGAATCTGCCTCTGACGCGCGGGCGGCTGTCCGCCAGAGTCTTGCGGCACACATACTGAGTGAGGGGTGAGGGGCGTGGGGGGAGCACGGGGGCGCGCATATAGTGTGGTATTGGAAAGAATGGGGCACTCGTAGCGTGAGGGGGGGGGAGCAAGGGGGCGAACATAGCGTGCAGTGAGGCGGCAAGCGGGTATAGGGGGGATAGGGTCCATACTATGTGACGGCGCATGTGAGGGGACATCAGGGCAACAGCAGGCCCCACACGCCGTGAGGCTCAAGGGGAGGAGGGGGCACACATGTCCACACCCACGTGCACCCATCCTCACATGTCCACACACACCCACGTGCACCCATCCTCACATGTCCACACACACCCGCGTGCACCCATCCTCACATGTCCACACACGCCCACGTGCACCCACCCTCACATGTCCACACACACCCACGTGCACCCAACCTCACATGTCTATACACACCCACGTGCACCCATCCTCACATGTCCACACACACCCACGTGCACCCATCCTCACATGCACACACACACCCACGTGCACCCATCCTCACATGTCCACACACAGACCCACGTGCACCCATCCTCACATCTCCACACACACCCACGTGCACCCATCCTCACATCTCCACACACACCCACGTGCACCCATCCTAACATCCACACACACCCACGTGCACCCACCCTCACATGTCCACACACACCCACGTGCACCCACCCACACATGTCCACACACACCCACGTGCACCCATCCTCACATGTCCACACACACCCACGTGTACCCATCCTCACATGTCCACACAAACGCACGTGCACCCACCCTCACATGTCCACACACACGCACGTGCACCCACCCACACATGTCCACGCACCCACCCACACATGTCCACACACCAACGTGCACCCACCCTCACATGTCCACACACACCCACGTGCACCCGTCCTCACATGTCCACACACACCCACGTGCAACCATCCTCACATGTCTACACACACCCACGTGCACCCATCCTCACATGTCCACACACACCCACGTGCACCCACCCACACATGTCCACACACACACACGTGCACCCACCCCCACACATGTCCACACACCGACGTGCACCCACCCACACATGTCCACACACCGACGTGCACCCACCCACACATGTCCACACACCCACGTGCACCACCCACCCTCACATGTCCACACACCCACGTGCACCCACCCTCACATGTCCACACACCCACGTGCACCACCCACCCTCACATGTCCACACACCCACACAGTGCACCCACCCACATGCAATCACGCACACAGTGCACCCACCCACATGCACCCACACCCACAGCGCACCCACCATCATGCACCCACACGCCCACAGTGAACCCACCCACATGCACCCACACACACAGAGAGCGCCCACCCACATGCACCCACCCACACACAGTGCACCCACCCACAGCGCACCCACCGTCGTGCACCCTCACACCCACAGCGCGCCCACGCACCTTGATCTTCTTGGTGAAGTTCCTCTCGTGGCGCTTCTGCCGGTACCGCGAGATGCGCTGCCGGCGCTCCTCCACCGTGTACCGGCCGATGCGGAACACCCCGCCGTCGTCCAGAGGCAGGGGCAGCCCCTGCAGCGCGCTCAGGGACTGCCACGTGGCGCAGTGGGGGAGGAGGGGGAGTGTGGGAGTGGGGGAAGGAAGAGGTTTTAAGGGCAATGGGAGAATTCAGGTGGAAGGCGAGTGTTTTATTGCGCATGAGTCTTTCTTCTGCACCTTTTGCTTGTGCACTCAACTTGTTGCTTGTCTGAAGTCATTCTCTTGTAACATTCCCATGCATTTACTAGCTTTGCCCTTATGTGAATTTCTCTTCAGCCTAGCTGCGTTGCGTTTATATTCACACTGAAACTCGTCTCTTATACAAGTGTACGTTGCTGTTATCACCCCAGCTCACCTGAATATCGCCTGTGCTCTGCACTCTCCGCATTCCGCTGAACGACGGCAGTCGCGGCGGAGTCAGCCCCATCGCCCCCATCCCCCCGCCCCCTTCCGCCCCCATCACCCCCCCCGCACTGCCACCTGCTCCGCTCATTTGCCCCAACTTCGCGGCTCCCCCTACCAGCCCCCCTCTGCTTCCGCCCATTCCGCCTCCCCCAGCGCCCATCCCAGCTCCCCCCGACTCCCCCGCTGCTGATTCCCGCCTCGTCCCGTTCTCGCCCCCCCATCCGCCCATCCCCCCCTGCTTGCTGCTGCGTCCGCCAGCCTGCGCCCCTGGAAACTCCCCGCGCGGGGAAACAGGGGGAATCGGCGGAGGACCCATGCTTCTGGGGGAGAGTAGCGACGCCCCTCCCGCGCTAGTGGCGGCTCTTGCCCGTCCCCCGCCCCCAGTTGCCCCAGCAGCCGCGAGCGCCTGTTTGTGCAGCTGGCCTAGGGAGTGGCTGCTGTGGCTGCGGGGCATCATTCCCCGCCTCTGTAGCATCCGTTGCCGCAGCAGCATCTGCTGCTGCTGCTGCTGAAGGTGAATCGATGGCAGAGGCTTCAGCTCGTCGTCTTCCCCCTCCTCTTCCCCCGATTCCGCCCCTTCCCCTGCTCCTCCGCGCGTTCCCGCGCCTCCGCCCGCTCTTTCGGCGCGGTCTTCTCCGCTCCCGTCCTCCTCGCTCCCTGAGTTCCCGCTGCTGCCGTTGCCAGGCCCCGCGCCCATTCCCCCCTTCCGCCTCGCGCTCATGCCTCCGCCCATCCCCGTTGCTGCGCCCCCGCCGCCCCCCCATCCCTCCCCCTCGGCTGCGCCTCCGCTCGCGCGGCTCCACTGCGACAGCTGCCCCATGGACGCCACGCGCCGCATCTTCGACGGCGCCATTCCCGCCGCCATCCCCGGCGCCATACCCGCCGCTGCTACCGCGGAAGAACCCAAGCCTGAAGCTGCTGATGCCGAGCCTGACGCGCATTGCAGCTTCGGCACCCCCGAAGCTGTGTTCACGCTCATCCGAGCCGCGGCCTGCAGCCCGCCCAAACCTTCGTGGTAGCTTCGGCGTCTGGGGAGGCTCGGCGCGCCGCTGCTGCCACTGGGGCCGCCAGGGCGCGTGCGAGGGGAGGAGAAAGCTCCCTCCTTAGACGGACTATCGGATTCGCTCTTAACGGGGACAATATCCCCCACGCGACCAAAACCAGCCTTGGCAGTAACCGGCTCCGCCTTGACCCTCCCCGCCGCCCCCCCGCCCGCCCTGCTCGCTCCGCTCATTGCGGGCACCGGGGTGCCCAGCACGGGGGAAGCAGCGCCGCCGGGGAAACCCGGAGGCGGCATCATGCCTGGGAAGATGAAGGGGGGAGGGAGGCCGGGGAGCGCGGGGAGAGAAGGCGCGGGGGGAGCGGCGGGCATGGCGGCGTCGTCGTCGTCCGCGGGGATGGCGGACGACGAGCAGCCGCCGGATTTGCGCGCCTGCTGTTGCTGCTGCTTGGCCATCTGTTGCTGCTGCTGGTGCATGTGGTGCATGTGCATGTGGTGCATGTGCATGTGCACCTGCTGCATGTGCTGCATGGCATGTGGATGCCCGTGCGGATACATCATCCCATTGGGCATCGCGCCAGGAGGCATTCTAGGGGGCATTCCGCCAGGCATGGGCGGAGGCATTCCCCCGGGCATCATCCCCGGGGGCGGCATGGGGAACGGGTGCCCGGGCATGGGGTGGCCGGGCATGGCGTGGCCCTGCATGGCCGCCATGTGCATCGCCTGCGCTGCCGCCATTGCTTGCGCCGCCGCCATCGCGTGGTGCTGCGCCATCGCCGCCGCCGCCGCTCCAGGCGGCATGTGCCCCGGCATCCCCATGGGGGGAATCCCCATCGGCGCCATCGGCGCGCCGTGGTGTCCCCCCATCGCCCCAGGGTACGGCAGCCCGCTGCTCGTTGCGCCGTTCGCGGCCCTCCCCGCAACGTCCGTTGCTCCCCCGGTTCTTCCCGCGCCCTTGTGTTTGTGCGCGGGTTTGGTCCGCGACACCATGGGGCTGAACACCTGGCTGTGCCCGAACGACGACGACGGCGGGGAACCGGGCGCATCCCCCGCATTCGCGGTGTCCCCCACCACCCCCATGCCCTGCGCCTGCGCCTCCGCCTCCGCCCCCGCCTGCGTTTGCGCAAGCCCCTGCGCGTGCGCGTGCATTTGCGCGTATTGGCGCATGCGGGAGGGGGAGGGCGGAGAGGAGCTCATGGAAAAGCTACAGTCCGACCCCTGCGGAGATGCCGTGCCCTCCGCCGCTCCATTTCCCGGTGTTACATTCACCTGCGCGGTCCCGTCTTCCCCAGTCCGCGCGCTTCCGCCCGCCAAGCCTCCGCCATTGCCCCCTCCTCCCCGGTCCGTGGTCGGTTCCCTGTCCGACGACACGCAGTAAGGCGCTAAGCTCACTTCCGCAATCTCAAATATCCCCCGCCGCTTCCCCTCCTCGGGCCTTCCGCCCCCCGCGCCTGCTCGGTCCTGGTTCCCCCGCCCTGCTTCGTCCGCTTGCGCCGCTACAGCCGCCGCCTGCTGCGTGCAATCCGAGGGCTCGGCCTTAGGCGGCGCTGCGGCGGGCGGCACTCCTGCCGCAAAGGAGATGCTGGGGTCTGCTGGTCGGAGGGCAGCGCGCAGAGAGGCGCAACGAGACGAGAAGGCAGAGACGAGAAGGCAGAGACGAGAAACGAAACAAAGGAAAACGAAACAAAGGAAAACGAGTGAGGGCGAGAAATGAGATTCATGTGGGAGCAACAAAGAGTGCTGCGCTGTGCCCGACATTATCTGGCTCCGGACTAATCCGCGGAAAGGCACGACGAAAGTGTGCCTAGGGAACCTCACCGCACGGTGCATCGGGCGCAGCGGCCGCGAGCTGCGTGAAGATGTCGTCGTCGTCGTCCGCCGCGTCCCCCACCCCCATGTCGTGCGCCATCGGCGCTCCGCCCAGCCCCAGCTTGTGCGCCGCCTCGAGGTTGTCCTGCGCCAGGCCCATGTCGAACTCGATGCCCTGCCATGGTCGCACGGTGCGAGAGGGAATCACGCACGGCGTGATGGCGAGTACGGACGAACTCGATTCCCTGCCGCGCGACACGCGGGAGAGTACGGCAGACGGTTTTTGAGTCGACTCAAAAATCACCTGAGAGTACGGCAGACGGCTGGAAAATCTAGAGGGAAGACTGGTGCGTGGATGGAGTGTTTTGACTCGGGAGGCTACACGCGAACAGCCGCGAGCACAAGCAGATATAGGTGCCTCGATGCAGTCGCTGTTCGCGGACAAGCCTAGCCTGATCGTGTCTGCACTCACGTCGAAGTCCGCCATGGCGAAGATGCCGTCGTCGAAGCCGCCATGGAAGTACCCGCCATTGACGACGTCCGGAACCTCCGCCGTCATGGCGTCTGGCGCAAGTCTCCCGCCTCCTGCGGAGACGTGAAGGAATAAATTCCCGTCAATTGCGGCCATACGGTGAACTGAATGGTTCGGTCAGCCTAACCGTTTCCGTCGATACTGGAATGGATGTTAAAATCAGTCAAAGCTGGTCACACCAGCTCATATCTGCTGTAAGTTCTAACGTCTCTCCTTATATCCGGAAGAACGAGAGGCAATGAGCACGGTGCTGACAGTAAGAGCGAAAATGGATACTATTAGAAGTACACCGCACCTGTCGGTCAGGGAAGCCGGACGGACTGCTTGTCAAGGATTCTGAGACTGCTCACGTCAGAACTTCTGTCAGCCTAGATGAGCACGAGGGTGAGATGACTTCAAACGCTGCCAGGCTGCACACGCACACACCAGCAGCACCAACTGCTCGAGTCCACACGAGTTACTGTGGCTTCCCTCGGGTTTGTGGACCTGCTGCTATTCAAGCCTCGCTTCGCCCAGCAGCACAGGACAGAATTCCTCTATTCCGTGGCTCCTAAACTTCTCGGAGTCGAGCATTACGGAGATTCCAAGGTTGGGCTGCCTTGGGTTCTGTTCTGGGGAGGGACTCTCCCACCCTCCAGAATTCCCTCTCCAATTCCAAGGCTCCTGCTGCGTGAAACCAAACCACAGTCCCGCTCGTACCAAACAAACCTGCCGTGGACCCCGGCCAGCCCCGAACCGGAACCGAGCCTCGTCTGAGGGTACATTATCTAAATCCGTGCCAGGGGCTGTTGGGCTTTCTGCCTCAAACCAGCCTGGTCCACCGACATGGCGCCCCAGACCTACATGACGGCTTGGGGGAATGCCTTTGGTCAGAAGTGAGCCGAGCCAGCCAGACCTCCCACCACCCAAACCAAGCCAGGTCACCACCGCAACCTCCTTGCCGTTCAGGCCAAGAAGAAGCAGGCATCATGGCGATGGAGCCGCACGCTTGTTGCTTGTCTCCTGGGAAGACCGTGGCCACAAGAGGCGATCAGAAAATGATGACGTTTCGCCAAGAAAAAACGAGGGCGGAACGAGCTGGCAGCAAAACAATGTTATCCAACTGACAGGATGAAAACAAAATGAAACCTGGTGGCTTCAAGATGAGCGGTACAGTGTGTTTTTTATATTTATACTTATCGTCCAGCTCTACAGTCTGTGTTTCCGCTTGGGACATCGTTGAGGAGCAACCAGCAAAACGATACACTCCCGCGGATCCATGACGTGGATATCACCACATTCGACCTGTCAAGCGATAAGGCTTAGCAAACTAGGGAGATATGGACCTCAAGTTGCGTATCTCGCCCCACAGCTTCCAGACTCTTGTGATTGCTCCTTCCATTCGCTCCATCAGGTACCTGTAATCCATAGGGAAATGATAAAAAAGGGTCCTCCCTTCGCTAGAGGCATGAGCAAAAAAGGTCCGGCAGCTTTTTGCCCCGAGACGTCGTCTCCGAGCCTATGCTACACCTCATTCGTCATACAATGTGCACAAATCACAGGCTCACAAATTTGCAGGTTCATGGGGGCGCTTCGTGTCGTAACCCTGTGGTGGGACCTTTATACGAATTCAATGTACTGTGCTGTATTAGGGCACCAAAAAAAACTAAAACCCATAGGGGCACCGCATGCGACTCGGGGTGGCATCAACCCTAAACTCGCAAAAGGGCCGCGTGTTTAGGGTTGATGCCATCGGGAACGGAATTTGGTCCCCAACGGGTTTTGGTCCCCAACGGCCACCGCTGAGAAATGTTGAATGGTACCGCATACGTCCCGTAAATGTTTAAAGTGCTAAACAAAGAAAGAAGTGTATTTCAGGTTCAGAGGCTAGGTCCCTGGAGCAGAAAATAGCTGGACCTTTTTTGCTCACGCCTCTGGCAAAGCGAGGGCCATTTTTGGGTTGCGTAGCAACCCTTTATAATCGGTCGGTGGACCGATTGTGGTGGACAGATATTGCATTACATATTATTCTATTCTAAATCTTATCAAGATAATAACCCATATCATTTTTGGTTTCTAAAATTTATCGAGATAATAACTCATATCATTTTTTTTTGTTTGTTTTTCTAAATCTTATCGAGATAATAACCCATATTATTTTTTAGGGTCCAATGCATCATTTACTCTAAAGATTTGTATTATATTATATTATATTATATTATTACATGAGTCTTTTATATTTATTAGTATTAGTATTATTTATTGCCACATACGTATTCCCGTTATTATTGTTGTTTGTAGTTTCTAGTGTATGTATTTGTTTTGTTTTATCTCTTTGTCTTATTATAATTATAATTATTATTATTATTACCACTACTATTGTTCCTATTACTATTGTCTTTTTTTTTTCTATTCTTCTACTTTTCTATCCATTATTATTATTATACTACTATTGTTAGAGTTAGCTAACCATTTTATCGTGCAAGACAAAAATCCATGCTATTTTATTTGATATGTCGGCGATACTCATACCGACATAAAAATAGAAGAATAGCATAGAGATTTGGGACAACTATCTAAGCTACCTATGAATGATGAGAGTCTCAAATCATTCGCCGTCGATAATTACGGCGGAGAATGATAGAGATACTACATTACAACAGCACACAATACATTATGGCAAACAAATATTACGAAACAGTAGTGAATGCAACGTAGCAAACGCATCAATGCTTTTGTGTTATGGGAAGAATATCCCAAACTGGCAACGACAATCGCAATTTGTACTGTGCACTAGGCATACGCTGCGTCGTCTCACTGCACCCACAACAATATGCACTCTCTTAATAACGCATGCCATCGAGCACACTACATAGCAAAATATTACGGGTAGGAAAACGAATGCGTTAATGCTTTCGTGCTACAATAGAGACTGACATGCACGTTATGGGAAGCGAGTCCCCAGACCGGCAACGATAATCGCAAATTGTATACCGCACTAGGCATAGTTAGCATTGTTTCCATGGGGACAATACAATACAACTAGGTATGTGCATGACGTAACAATACAATACATGTAAAACATATGCACAAGACACGGCAAACATCATTGACAACAAAAAATACGGAACAGTAGTGAATGCAACGTAGCAAACGCATCAATGCTTTTGTGTTGACATGCGCGTTATGGGAAGAATATCCCAAACTGGCAACGACAATCGCAATTTGTACTGTGCACTAGGCATACGCTGCGTCGTCTCACTGCACCCACAACAATATGCACTCTCTTAATAACGCATGCCATCGAGCACATTACATAGCAAAATATTACGGGTAGGAAAACGAATGCGTCAATGCTTTCGTGCTACAATAGAGACTGACATGCACGTTATGGGAAGCGAGTCCCCAGACCGGCAACGACAATCGCAAATGGTATACCGCACTAGGCATAGTCAGCATTGTTTCCACGGGTACAATACAATACAACTAGGTATGTGCATGACGTAACAATACAATACATGTAAAACATATGCACAAGACACGGCAAACATCATTGACAACAAAAAATACGGAACAGTAGTGAATGCAACGTAGCAAACGCATCAATGCTTTTGTGTTGACATGCGCGTTATGGGAAGAATATCCCAAACTGGCAACGACAATCGCAATTTGTACTGTGCACTAGGCATACGCTGCGTCGTCTCACTGCACCCACAACAAGATGCACTCTCTTAATAACGCATGCCATCGAGCACATTACATGGTACAATATTACGGGTAGGAAAACGAACGCGTCAATGCTTTCGTGCTACAATAGAGACTGACATGCACGTTATGGGAAGCGAGTTCCCAGACCGGCAACAACAATCGCAGATTGTATATTGCACTAGGCATAGTCGGCATCGTTTCCACGGGGACAATACAATACAACCAGGTATGTGCATGACGTAACAATACAATACACTATAGAACATATGCACAAGAGACGGTAAACACCATTGACAACAAAAAATATGGAACATTAGTGAGTGCAACGAAGCAAATCCATCAATGCTTTATGTGCATGATGTGGCAATGCGGTACGTAGAAAACACAGGCATACCACGTGGTACACTGTTGACCGAATGATAGATCAACGTGTTAGTACATTACAGGGATACATATGGAAAGAAATAGGTTAACACAAAAGTATGGTCATAAAAAAATGAAAAACATATGACCCATTATCTTAAGATGCTACCTTGCCCAAGTCTTAGACCCTGCACTCACCTTCCCCACCACCCCACCCATTCCATTCCTCCCCAATCATCCCCCTCCCCTCCCGTTTCCCCTGTGACGTTTCGCTGCTACTCATTGTATCAATTTCATTCAAGTTGTCAGAGTAAGTGGACGACCATCCACCTGAAAGGGATGGAAAATAGTAGAAAAAATGTGTATAGTATAATAATATGAAGATTTCAGTGGACAAATTATATGTATCGATGACTTACTCTTAGAGACGACGGTGAACCTTCGCAGGAGTTGTCGGATGTACGGCATTAGTGTTGGTACCAATCCGCTTGTTATTGTCATTTGTTGATGGGATGTCCTAAGCATTATCCAGTATAGCAAGACAGGATGTCGATGGTAAAGTTTAGTTCGAACGAAAAACAATACACGGTATGTAAATATACAAAAGCGACATGGTGATTATACTCGCAGTATGAAAGGGGCGATTGAGTGAAATTATCGACCTTGTGATCCCATCCCAGATGCCACATACTTTCACCTGTGAGCATAATATGGATAACACAAGCCAAGAGAGAAGTCAAACGTGACTAAAAAATTTGTACAAAACACAAATGACGAATTTGTTGGTATGAATAACAACATGCTGTTGTGTTGTTATATTCCTTACTTGGATGAGCCATCTTCCAATAAGACCAGTCAGCATTTCGTGTTTCTGTTCGTTGTCTGCCATGCTGAACTCAATGGTACAAGCATTCGGAATAACTTGCTTGATCGCCTCCAATTCGATCTTTGCCAGTACGCCCTTGCGAATCCCGATTTTTTTGTCACACACTGGAAAAAGAGCGCACGTATGTGTAGAGGTAAGATGTGTGTCGTATATTTAGCTGAAGAACGTGATAATTATGAGTATCATGTACAATAATTTATGCATTAACTACTAACCTTCCTGATTGTCGAATGTGACTCCAATCTCAGTGAAACACTTGTCATCCATCTCCTCGTGTCCCGTGCAGCACTTCCATCGTTCGCTGGTGTAAAAGTAGCGAGCATTGCGACCGCAAACACCCCCCCCTTCAACTGTGTCATCATGAATACAGCGTTGTCCTGCATTGACAACAAATCCGGTGATCGTGCCGCGTGTAATGGCCACATTTTCGTTCCGCCTTGCACGAGCGTGATCTTCCACGCCGGCAAGCCTACAACGAAAATGTGCATGGTGTTCAGCTTCAATAAATGACCGCACAGTGCTAAGGATATCTGAGTAAGATTGAAAATAATAACTTACGAAGCAACTTCGCCCCAATCCTCACAAACAGGTGCAGTGTTGCTCAAGTTCGGCGCAATGCGAGCGATTGCA